CACGGAAAACAACGAATCGGCATCAAAAAGTGGTTTTAGAGTAAAAATACCTATAATAAAACTTAAAGAGAACAATATTTTGGAGGGAACCTCATCGGCGTTTTTAAAAATATTAACTATTAAAAAAGTTGTGGTTATTTAAAAAAAGAGTTTTTGTGCCTTCAATATCTAGCTGTGTATTTAGATTAATACAAAACCCCGATGAGGTTCCCTCCGAAATATTGTTCTCTTTAAGTTTTATTATAGGTATTTTTACTCTAAAACCACTTTTTGATGCCGATTCGTTTGTTTTCCGTGGACGTAATTTGCTATGTTACGCGTTTGTAAGACGGAGACAACACATGCGGGTGTGGCGTCCTCTTAATAATAATGATTTATATCATTACCACGGTGATCGCGAATACGATTTGCATTCGTTTCCTCTCTGCGAAGCGATAATAATATCTGTGTATAATGTAATATAATATGCGATTACAAATATGAATAATTTAATGTTCAGTGTCGCTTAGTAAGACGAATATTACTCGATACATTTAACATGATTAAACCTAATTTAATAATTTTCTGTACAAAGTGAATTATTCCTATAAAATGTATCTGCTTATCCGTAAGAAGTAACTTTATAGTTTGGTTATAAAATAGCGCATAATAATGTATAGGTTTTTATGAGTTGAAAATATTTTTCGAATCTTGTTTTTAGGTTATTCATGGGTTTTTTTTATAATATGTACCTACCTTTATTATTTGTCTCTCTGTTAAGTATCTAAGCAATTAAAAATGTTCTATAATATATAACAATTTTAGATATATACATTATATATACCTATAGACTATAAGTATCCAACTACCGAAAAGTGAGCGGATCCGTTTTAAAAAGTGTAATTTTTACTAAATATTTTATATTGTGGTAGCCGGTATTGTGGTAACTACTAATAAGATGTGTGACACTGTCACCTACAAATTTTAAACTCAACTCAAAAACCACATCTGCAGTAATTGTTATACAATTTGTACATATTTGTTACTACAATTACAAATTGTATTATCAAAATTAAAAGATGATGAAATTGCTATTATTTTGTATTTTTGTACTATTTGAATAAAAATACATAAAAAAGCTAAAATAGCATGGCGTTATTGGGTACATTCTCTAAATAGAGAACAGACATAAGAGACTGCAAGAAGGGTACTTTCAGGTTAATTGCTTTGAGGGCATAACCAGAAGAATTTTTTTAATAATACCATATATAGGAATAACTACGTTTGATGAATTAGTAGGTGAATTTATGTGTATATTTTTAATGTATAATACACAAACCATATTTTTTTTAGGATTTTAGTCTAAATATAAACCAACAGCGGAATACCAGTGGCGGATACAAAGGGGAGCGAAGGGGTGTTTTCCCCTCCCCTTTGTGACGTATTTTTTATTATAATATTAGGCTAAATAAAAGATAATTTAATTTTTGAAAATTCACCCTCGATCAAAAATTAGTATCTATAATAATAAGCGTCTTTACCTATTCCATTAATTTAAATGACCTTGATAATGAACACGGCATTTAGATTAAATGATTAAAATAAAATGTGTAAAGACAATATCTGACACACAAAGAAGTAGAACAATTACGATTAAAAAAAAAAAAAAACATTTTTAACACAAGCACACGATATTGTGGACACATTAATTTATTCCGTCGCTTTGGTCTATACTAATTTCTTATTTCACTTAAATCTAATTCCCGCTATACAAAACAAATAAATACTAAATGTGGTGTTATTTAATGTTTGTGAATTGATGGTTTTAGTGTACGACAAATCACACATATATTGAAATCTGTCTACAGGTATTCATCTTGGTCACCTCGACGAGCGTCTGC